AACGATAGTGAGGTTTTCTGCTGCTATAATGAGTGTTTGGAGCAGGTGCAGGAAGGAGCAGTTCCTTTCTCCTGACATGCCTCCTCACACAGGAATGCTGGGAGTGAGCGGCTCTCTGAACAGAGAAGGTAATACTTGGAGAGTTTTGAAATGCATCGTTGAAGCTTGGCCTTTTGTGGAGTCTGAAAGTACTTCACACTGTGTCAGTAGTTCTCATAACCTCCATGGTAAGTGGTGCTTAGAGCGTGTTATTAGAGTCATTGTGGCAGCAGGATGTCGGTCAGAGGCTCAGTCATCCTGGAAACCTCCTCAAAAGTCATTACTCATCTTTTAACCACAGGATGGGGGACATTTCTTACACTTAAAGTAACTGTGAAAAGTGATTCTGGTCTGAGCATTGATTTGTTGGCACATGTGGTGGAGTAATAAGTTGGATATATGAGATGAGGAAAATCTTCAATGTGTGATAGCATTGTTCAGTATTGGAAAGAGGATTTGATGTGAGATTGTGTGAATATCAACTATAACTTAAAGTTTTTGTCTATCTGCTGATTCTCTTGTGTTACACAGTTCCTGGGTTGAATCCAAACGCTTTCCAAACAGCAGAAGTGCTGCTCTTTTTTTGCTACAACATCTTTATAAAGCACATTTCCCTTGCTCTGTTTTGTCTTCCTTTGGCATCTTGTCAACCAACATTGATTAGCTATAAGAGAAGCTGACAGCAGGTTTAGGTTTCATTTGAATGGTATAATGGTGTGAATGCATGTCCTATTTCTCCTGGGCTCATTCTCAAAGAGTTTATGTTCATATAGTGAGTCTTGATGCTTTTCCTTTGTTTAAAAGAAGAGTCATTTATTTAATACAATTGTGCCCAGGTTTGTTTCCAGAGTCAACATAAGGCTGAGGTAGTATCTGCCTTATTGTGTTCTTTTAGCATGTCAGAGGTTTTAATCACATGGTGCCAGAGAGAGAGAGAGAGACAGAGAGAGACAGAGAGAGGGGACATGTTACATGTTACATGTTGACAAAGTGCAGGCACGATAGAAACACTCATCATCTACAGGTTTCACATGCACAGGTTAGTGCTTGTGTCCATTACTGGCTTCTTTTTACTGTGATGTTGATTGTTGTAACATCTGGCTATAAAGTGCAAACGTAGTGGTCCAAACAGTCCTGTGTTTTCATCCATAGTGTTGTGTAATAGACACCTCCTTGTCTTGTGAGCTGATGAACTGGATAGGTGAACTATTGTCCATTTTTGGATCTCCTACAACAACAGATGATAGTTTGTGTCTGAAGCTGAATTCTACTTGAATAAGGTGTTAGTTTCATGAGTTCAAACATGGGTCAACAAACATAATCCACCCTCTGTAAAGCCACTGATGAAGCAACAGGGAGAAAGTGTTTGATGCTTTTTGGTTAAATGACTAAGAAAAGATTCCTCAGTTTGTTAGATTATAAATGTATCTTAGTCCCCTTCCTGTTTCAGCCCCTCTTCTCCTCCTCTCCACCTCTCTCTCTCTCTCTCTCTCTCTCTCTCTCAGTCTCTTCTAATCAAGGGGATGTTTGTGACCTTTTGGATCCTAAAGCTGTGAAGTGTCTGAACCATTTCTCAAGAACTCAGCGATTCTTTTCAGCCTCACTGGTTTTAACAAGTTCCACTGGGATTTAGGGTGTGTCTATTTTTACACATCCGTCCATGTGTGTGGTCTGTACCTGTACCCTCTTCAGGATTTGGTGCAGTTTGATGGAATATAATGAATTTGGATAAAGTATCATTTTTACCCTCTGGTGTAATATTATGTGCATTGGTTAGAGACAGTGTCTTTTTATTTTCCATAGTCCTCAAGTGTATTGTTGTTTTTACTGTCTGAATCATTTAATGTTAAAGGTCTATAGTTCAGTATTTCACTTCTCAGTCTGTAATCAATACAATAATGGTATTATATCTTGTTTATCGTATACCTCTTTGACTTTGCATGTCTACACTGTTGATGATAGATCAGGCTGGAGGGATTTTTTATATATATATATATATTTATATATATATATTCTGTGTTTATAAAAAGATCTCTTAAAACTCATTTTTGGACATAACTCAAGAATTCATCCAGTTATACTCACAAATTCACAATGTGTCATCGAATAAAATGGCAGAGTGAAAAAAAAAACCTTAAAAAATGAAAGGTTAACTTGACTATAAATCACAATTGTCTGGGAAAATGCCTTTTGGACTATTCATCCCATCCTTATGTAGTACATGTGATATCTTAGGAATGTCTGGAGGGAATTTCTTCTCACTGTGTGCGAACGTCATCAAAGATGAACTGAATCTGATTTTGTGGGTTGCAGATTTAAGGTCACTATGACCTCATCTCTGTCCCGTCTTAGGAATGTGATACCTCAGAGAATTATGGAGCCATTTTTATTTTAACATCTGTTTTATTTACCTTTTTCCTCTGTTGAAGAGAACAATGCTACTCTACTTTGTAATTAAAGGACAATTTCCCTTCAATCTCCTCCTCGTGTCCTTTTACTTCTGGGATGTCTTGAAAAGCTTCTTCTGTCCACACAACATGAATCTGAAGAAAACACAGAATCAGAAAGAGCTCTTTACAGATTGCAGATCCTTTGTACATTCACATTTCATCAACCACGGTGTAATATTGGTATCCTGGGGTGTGATTTCACATTAACATTACAGCGTGGCTGAAGCGCTAGAGGAGAGGAAGAGGCCCAGCGTTGAGGTGTTGCTTCACATGGACACACATCCAGACATGCACACACAAACAACACACACAAACACATCGCTGTTCCGCCATGTCTCGTCTGAAGTTACTCAATGCCAGCGCTTTGCCCCCCATTTAAACCTCTGTTACTTCCCTGGCGAATCAGGGGCAGAAGTAGAATTCTGTCTCTGTGCCTTACATGTTACAAGCAAGGCGTTACAGAGGTGTTCATATTCTGCATTTACATTTTACACCAACTGATATTCTTTGCTGTGACTTCCATAGAGGATTCATGTGTTGAACATCTCCCCTCTAACTTTAAGGCCTACTAATGGTGCTGTAAAGTTTTTATGATAATGTATTCTTTCAGGTATTCAGGGTAAACAAAGATAACCTAGTGCTCCTTGTGGGAAAGTCATGTTTGGATGTTTCTGCAACTGGTTAGTAAAAGTTAAAGCTGCAGAATAAATGTAAAGTGTTCACAATGAACAGGTTTGTGAAAGTCTGAATTTAAAAGCAATGCTTTCTCCATCAGCATGTGAACATGTTACATGATGGATGGAGCGTGTAGCATACTTTCAAACCATTTTAATGCAGTCAGAAGAAGTTAAAGCTAACTGTCAGCTACACTTAGATTCACTGGTGCTAAATTAGTGGTGGAAAAAAAGGCACGTTTTTCCCCCAAATGTTTCTCAATCCAAGAGAAACATGTTGCAAACAAAACATGAAGAAAAGCAGATGAACACAGAAACTGTAAGTTACTGCTAATGTTCCCTCTTAAATATTGTTTTATTTACCACACTTTACATCATTACAACAACATTGAACAGTGTTAACACAAATCACATATTTGATTCCCATCATGCATGCCTAGTATACAACCACTAGTCTGCAATTACATTTCTTTCTTTTTTTAATATTGGATTAAACCTGAATTTAAGGGGTCACGTTTCAACAATCTGAAACGTGCCCCCTGAAGCTATCAGAAAACTTTACCTAGCAGTTCTGTTTTTTTTAAAAGACTTCTTGGTATAGACTCTTACTTGATATTGTTATTCTGATAATAATTTGACTCAACGATGGAGCACAATCAGTGAGACTGTGTTTAGGAGGGTTTCTGAGAGCAGAGAGTCCAGAGAACTGCTGATGAGTAAACTGTACTTCCCTGAATCTTCACTCCCTGGCCCTTTAGTCCAATTATTTTGATGCAGAGATGTTGTCTGAGAGCTTGCTGGATGTTGTCCTCGTGAAGCCAAACAGAGATTTTTACTCTTTCTACTTCCTCTATTGTTCTCCATAGCTTATTAGACTCATGTAGGTACAGCATCAGTAATGCATCCAGGATCATGGTCCGTGTGTGTGTGTGTGTGCGTGCGTGCGTGCGTGCGTGCGTGCGTGCGTGCGTGCGTGCGTGCGTGCGTGTGACTCTGATCATGCTGTGTGGGTCTCCTCTCCTCTCCTTGTTAAAACTTTGTCCAAAAGTGAGTTAAAAAATACTCAAGTAGCTGAAGGAAGTTGAAGGTGAAGCATTCATCTTACAAAGTTATTTAATTTATGATGATGATTAGGAGAGAGGGAACAATTCCTCACTTTTGAGAAGCTTCAAATGAGGACTGGTTATGCAGATTAATATTGCGACCAGCTCATTGTTGCAGCTCTGATTTTTAAGTTGAAATCATATATTCATGATTTGCAGAGAATTACCCAATCTCCATCATCCTTTTCACATAGCAGGCTTTTCTTTCATCTGTGGATTCCAATACATAAAACATTATATTTGCAATGTGTATTACAAATCTTCTGTTTTCTCTGTTGATTGAGATTTATCATTCTTTCATCTTTGGATTTCAAGGTTCCCTCTAAATGTGAACTTGTTTTGACATCGAGCAGAAATCATAAATTAATAATCAAAAGAAAATATATCAACAGCTGTTATGAAATCAATCCATGTTTGACTTTCTTAAAATAGATAATCACCCCGGCATTCGATCTTAAGAAAGAATGGGAGTAAATAATCTCTTTGAGTTTTGGACTGTTAAGAGATTAGGGTTCTCATGACAACAGATTCTTAAACTTTGATGCAATTTTACGAAAAGTCCAACAATATTGATACCCGTTTGATGCCACGGCAACAGAAATACAAGTCCTAGGCAACCAATATCTGATAATTTCTTATTTTTAATTTCCAATAACTGCTGGTAACACTGTTAAAGTTGCACATATACATCCTGATTGATTATTTTTCTTCTTCTATGTGTTTTTCCCTTTCAGGGGTCTGAGGTCTGGACGTCACCTGGAGGACGACGATATTGTGCCTGAGCTGGCTTATATCCACCCCAGAGAGAGACCAGACTGGGAGGAGACCATCAGTGCCATGGTGGGACACACACACACACACACACACACACACACACACACACACACACACACACACACTCAGACACATATTTTTCTACATATGGCAGATGATTTTTGTTTTGAACACACAGGTCTGTATGAAACTTAACATTCATGTAACACCATGACTTTAGTGTCGTCTCTGTCTGTTAACTCGGAGTTACCTGATCAAAACATCAGTTAGTTCATAAAAAAGTTGCTGTTCTGTTTACTGAATATGACCCGTCACAAACATGAACAAGTCCCCTGGCAGCAGAATATTTTATTTTAAAAAAGTGCAAACCATACAATCAGACAAATCCAAAGAAGTCAAACACATAATCCAGACTAAAAGCTTCACAGCTGCAGAGCCAAACGCTGAAAGGACAGCTGGCAAAAAAAGAGAGGTGGAAAAGAGTAAGTAATGTGTAATAATACCACAGCTCCCACATCAGTGCAGGACTACATCAAACACATTCAGCTGCAGCACTGTCAGTGGCAAAGGATGGGGATCAAAAAAAAAAGATGATCTTTAAAGTATAAAGAAGGTTCAATAATCTCAATAATCAAAGCATGACATGACTGTGTGATGGACAAACCACAGGGGATGGAGAGAAACACCTCCATCACTGTCACATTTCTCCTATTATCATGAGGCTCGGTCCTTCTAGTTTTACACTCCTGTGTGTAAATGAACTGTTTCAAAAGATTAATTCAAGAGTGTATTCTGACCCAAATGTCTGGTTGGTTCTGCAGCTGCAAAATGATTTAGTCTCTGCAGGAAAAGAAGAAACATTTGAGACTGCTGTGGTCACAAGAACATATTTAACAGAAAGCATGAAAAGGGTTTGCAAACCAAGTCGGACAAGGCTTTATGCTAAATATGTGCTAGGAAATCCTTCTTTGAGGGCTCATAAAGCTTCCTATCATCCAGCTGTCAAAGGGTATCTCCCCTCTGGTACTAAGTCTCAGAGCAGCTAGGACAGAGAGATCTTCAGTCGTTGCCCGGCGACTCTTAAATGGCTGTAGTATTTTGTGCAAAATCTTAATCGGCTCTTACTTTCAGCGGCTGTACACTCAACAATACCAGTTATTTATAAAGCACCAAAATAAGGATAAATGAAACTGTAAAAAAAAAAAAGTTAGACGTGTCGTACTGTTGCGCCTCTCTGAATCACTTCAGGGGAAATCTGTTTAAAGTGACAGCCCCAGGCTTCCTTTCATATCTTATAAATAAGGAACAAGACTTTAGTGCTTCAGTCACTCTGTTGTAGTATGATAGCTGTGAAAGACAATGAATATTTCATGTCAAGAGAATCGTCTGGAGTGTTTTGTCTGTCTCTGAAAACTCCTGCCCTCCTCTGTCCTGGTCCTGACTTCTACATCCAGCCTCTGGTCCAGAGAATTGATTGGTCAGTAGGAGAGGCCTTTATAGTGGATGATGTGTTATCTCCCAAGTAACGTTCTCCTAGGTGTGCAACATTAGATACCATGACAGATGGAAAATATTACTACAATTTGTTTATAAGCGATGTGAAAACTACAAAATAATTAGATTATCCAGATTGGCTGCTGAAAGCGCTTGATTGTGATTGGTCTGTTTGTCAGTGCAGCCATAAGCCTTTTCAGACATGCACTCCTTCAAATTTAAAGTTTGAAATTTTCAAAATCCAAAACAAAAAACGCCGACCAGAATTTATATTTTCAGACACTTCAAATCCATTATTACCCCTTTACCTTTTCTGAAGATGATTTCCTTTTTAATATATGGAAATGGAAATAACAGGAGCAAAATGTACTGTTTCATACTGAAACATCAAGAAGTGACTCAAAATACAGCAACCGGTATTCCCAGGATATGCAATGCAATAAAAAAGGAGACGAGACATTTTAGGAGAGCTTTGCTCGGCAGGATCACTCTCACCAGGAAGCAGGAGAGAAGAAAAAATGGAAATGTCAGACGAAGAATATTATATCAATGCTACGTATAATTGAACATATTGACAGAATGGACAAACTGGCGGGCAGAACCAGAGTATGAACTCATTTCATTATGTGAACAGAGTTTGAACCAATCATCCACTGGTCACACGATACAAACATCATCATTCTCATCCACTCACTCTGTTTTCTGTGTACGTATTTTATAGACTATTTTGTAGTCTTATAAAAACAGTGTTGAACCCTAAGTTGCCTCGCTAACCTCAGGTCTTGTTTGGTGTTTGAGGCCTCAGGACGTGGATCAGTTTAGATCACAGATTAATGTAAATCCACTGATAACCCCACACGGTTCTGACTATCTGTTTACTGCCTGTCTCATTCTTATCAGCGTCTTGTTTTCAGTGGATTGATTAGTTGTGTCTCTCTGTCCTGTTGAAACTGTGTCTGCTGTGTACCTGAAACACTATCACACCTCCATGATTAATGCAGGTGACTGTTGGCGTCCTGAAGTTCTCCCGCCCTCGTCTACCTCATGTCTGTTTGTGTGCTCTCTCCTCCTCACTGGACTCAATTCACCAAACACCATCATTCATTATTTCCTTTTTCCTCCCATCTTTGGTTCGGGGGCTTGCTTCTTGCATCAACAGCACAGTGGGAAAAAAATGAGGCCGTCTCCATGGTAACATGCCGAGCCACCCGTGGTCGGCGTGTGGTTGGAGCCCTATCCGCAAGTGCTTGCTTCGATCGGGGGTGAACAGAGAGAACGAGAAACAACAATCTCACCATGGCTAATGAATATTGATCGCAGAGGCGGGGCTTTGAATTCTGCATGTGGGCTATTCTTTGTTCAATATTTGATACAGAGGGACTCTGCTCAGAGCTGCATGCATTATGAACGTCTCTGGTGGATCCACGAGGTGACGAGGAGACACTTAGTGTAAGCTGTCACACCAACGCCCTGCTGCTCTGATCTGCGTTGACGCAGAGCAGAAAGGAACAGAAAAAAAACATCACAAACCTCTGCAACATGACGATCAGATGAACAATAAGTCATTTTCACTTATTATAGATTTACTGTATTTAGCATTTAGATCAGAGCCGAGGAGCGGGCTTTAAAGAGCTCTCACTGTAATTTATAACATCAGAGTCCCACTGACAGAACAGCATTTGAAATGTGCCTGTGGCTGTTTTTCTCACACACACACACACACACACACACACACACACACACACACACACACACACACACACACACACACACACACACACACTTGAAGAATCATTAAAGACGCTCAAGTTGCATTTGTCAAATATTCCTGATCCCAAGCCAGATTTTTGGTAAGCTTGTACTTTCTTTAATGTCAGGGTCTGCAGCTAATAAACATTTTCCTTTCAGTTAATGAAACAATAATTCTAATAATTACACAAAGAATAACCTTTTAGTGCGACACCTTTTTAAACTCAGTATACAAACTACTTTCTGTAAAACAATACAACTACGATGGAGGTCAAATAAGGTGATTAAGTGAGTAATGGGTTAAATGTGTGATAGACGCATAAACAATCAGGGATAAAAACCAGTGTTAGTTCAATGTATACTAAGTAGGGATGTACCAATCAGCTGTTCAACATCGGTATAGGACGATATCGGCCCTGCTGACAGACATCAGCACATCAGCAAGTAAGTGGCATGAACCGATGTCAGTAGCTGATGTTTATTTTTTTAATGCTGGCATCTAGTTCACCTAACTACTGATTCAGATAAGAGGTTTTCTATGTCCAGATGAAGTCACCTGTTGAACAGACTCAGGCTGGTTTCATTTTCAAACATGAGAGACAATGTTAGCATCGTGGAGTCATGAAACAAACATAGTTATTTTATCGGCTAAATTGTTATTTCAAACATCGGCTTCTGTTTTTTTGCTCAGTGCGTCTCTAATACAAAATGTGATTTACTTCAAGGCTGTTTATAAAAGTGTGCTAAAAAGAGGATACAAGGTGACAGACTGTTCCACAGTACATGTGCTCTCTCTGAGAAGGCACAGTCACCCTCTGTCTGACTGGACTGTGGAACAAATTAAAGGGCCTTCACGGAGGATCTGAAGCTGTAAATCAGCTCATAAAAATGTAAAAGAAATGTAGCCAAAGGTTAGACCTTAAAAGCAGTCAGTCAAATCTTTAAATCAATTCTTCAACGTGATGGTAGCCAATGCAGTTGAGCCAAAACATTAGCAATGTAAGCTACATGAAATATCTCACACCTGTTTAATGTCAGAAATGACTGCTGACTGTTGATGAAGAGAGGGTTTGGATTTCTGCATGTTCGTACTTTAGCTGTTTGATTCTCCACAGTCCAATGCAGGAGTAACAGCATGACACGCAACCCCCCCCCCCCCAAAAAAAAAAAAAAAAAAACAAGTCTCAGATTACGCTTTGGTGTTTGATATCAACACAAATTGAATCAAAGAGATACTACTACTATTCCCTAAGCAAACCGACCTGGACATAAAACAGGTCCTGACCTAGTCCTGATCTCAGTGGTCCTGATTCAAATCAAACTCCGGCACTTTTCTGTAAGTCATTCTCCCGTTTCCCCTCAATATACAATTTTCCTATCAAATAATGGCAAAAGGGCCTTAAAAAGAAACGGCCCAGCTGCTGTTTGTCTTCAGCCTGTAAGAGTCTAACAGGTCTGATAAGGCTGCTGTCTGAAAACAGACCAACTCATCTACATACCACCTTAAGTGTCACTGAGCGTCTGACTGTAGAGTCACAGGCTGAATGGAGATAAAGTTCACTGTTCTTCTTCTTTCTTAACTTCCTATTATTCACACCTCCCTCAGCCAGTGTGTCTCTGTGACGCAGTTTTCTTCCTGATCCTGTTTTTTTTTTTTTTAATTCAAAGAAGTTTCAGTTATTCTCTATCAGATGTGATTTGGATCCATTCATTCTGTTTTCTTTTCAATCATCTTAAGTTATTCTCTCTCAGATTCCTTCCGACAACCTGTCAGATTTCTGAAATGAAAAGTCCTCAATGACTAATTACCCTGATTTATTCTACGATAGATAGACACTACGATAGATTCCCGCCTCTGTAAGTGTTTTGTTGACCACAGCTGCTGTCTTCCTTGTCTTCTATGGGAACATGTTACTTTGTTTTTGTTTATTAAGATCCCCATTAGCTTCTGTGTTAAACAGATGCTACTCTTCCTGGGGTCTCCAAATCTTCACTGACAATATTTCATTAGTTAGATCACATAAAAACACATTCACAGTACAACAAAACACATGACCAACACAACACAAACTCAAACTCAAAAACTGACTATTCAATTCAATTTATTTGTATAGCGTCAACTCTCATAACAAGTGTTATCTCAAGACACTTAACAAAAAGTAGGTAAAATACCTTACTCTTTGTCTGTTAACATTACAAAAGAGCAGGTAAAAAGACCTTACTCATTGTTATGTTACAAAAAACAACATGTTATGTTAGGTCGTCCATCAACAATCCGGTGGGGAGGGGGTAGGGGTAGGGGTGGGGATTGTTCTGGCAGGCCGTCAACCAACGATCTTGAGGAGCCTAAGAGAGCTCAAGAGCTCCCAGGAAAGTAGGTGGTTAGTGACTGAGATTTACAGATAGATACATGCAGTAATATGATGTACTGTATATGCACAGAGAGAGAGACTAACATATACAGAAGCTCTACATCAATATTTCTCACTTCAGGCCCTGTCCAGACAGGGACTTGAACCAGGAACGTCCTTGCTGTAAGGCAACAGCGCTAACGGCTGCTCCACCATGCAGCCCTTTCTGAAATCAAAAAACTTGAGAATGAATTTCATGTCACCGTTGCTCAATAATGCACTTTCCTTTGCATTACACTAGAATTATAAAAAGGTTGATTGTCAGGAGTGATGAAACACATTTAAAGCAAGAGAACAAGAGAACTCTCAAAAGTGAAATATTGATTCTGGTTAATCAATATTTCACTTCCGCTAGAAGGGTGATGTCTTATCTAATTTAAATAGCTTTGATGTACAGTTATAAGGTGAGAGTGGGGATGCACTCTAGCTTTGCTTACAGAACACTGTCATGATAAATTAAAAGTCAAAGAGATTGAATAATTAAACAGTCGACCTGAGCAGCCTCCCCCCCCCACTCAGCTCCTCCAGCTACGTTTCTGGACTGACTTGCACTGCTTTATGATTACTTCATACACCTTTTTTTGATTTTATTCCCTCATTTACTTGCTGACTTGGCTGATTTAAACTTACCGAGGCTTAAATAAGTGAAACTCCAACATCATCCGGCTCACAATCCACTTCACTGATGAGCCTGAACTCCAGACAGGCATTTCATCTTCCACCGAGCAATCAGTGAAAAAACACACAGCTCCTATTGAAGTTAAAAGCCTGCTGGATATTTTAAGCTTTTTGGAGAATTTCCCAAAACAATCAAACAGAGTCAGATATTTATCTGTATGCAGCAGCTGAGTCTCTAATGCCTGTGTGTGTTTTTTTTAAAGGCGAGGAGTGCAGAGATCCCCGAGCTGCGGGCCGAGCCCCTCATGCGCTCCTGCAGCAGCAGCACGGCCAGCATGAAGGTCAAGAATGTCAAGAAGTGAGTCAACACACACACATACACACTCACACACACCTGTTTCTGTCTGTCTCCTCCACCTCTCCTTCATCTCTCCTTCCCTCTGATCATCTTTTTATCACACTAACTTGCTCTTTATCGCCTCGGTTTCCTGCTCGAGTTCCTTCCATTCTCTAAGTCTATTTCTGTGTCTTCCTCCTCCTTCACTCCCTCTGTTTGCACTGCACTCTGCTTCTTACACACACAGACACACACACACACACACACACACACACACACACACACACATACACTCTGAAGTGTTATCATGAGCTGTGGATGAAGTGCAAAACAAACTGTTTGTGTGCTTGCTGTGTTGTGTTTTCAGACTCTGCTTCACTAAGGGACACTTCCCCAAGCTGGCAGAGTGCGCTCACTTCCACTACGAAAACGTCGACTTTGGCACAATTCAGGTAAAAAAAAAACCTCTAAAGCTTTTTTTTTTCTCCCTGATCCAACAGATTTTACATAAAAATGTAGAATCTGAAGGCGACGGTCTGGATTTCAGTATGTGAAGTGTGATGCTTTTTGTCTGCGTGGTGTTGACCAATCACGTGTCGGCAGGATTTGGTGTATGTATCTCTATGGAGAGCAAAAACAAGGCTGAACAGAATCCACCGTGATGACATCCCATATCTGTTGACAGTAATCTGACAAAGATGTATTTGTCTCTATGAACACATATCTGAGTGCAAGTCTAAGTCTGTTCTAGATCAAGAAAGTCAACCTGACTGATTGATGTGCTCATCGCTGTGTTTTGATAACCAACCAGAGTTAGGATTTCCTGACTTTCTGGAATGCATCATGAATGATCAATCTGACCTCCATTCAACAAACAAACATATAAGAAGTTGTTTTCTTCTCCTCTTGAGGTCAGACATGACCAAGCTATAATTTCAACTTATTACATATCTGCATCATGCTGTCATTATTTTGATGGGAATAAACCGAAGAATATCAGTTTCTTATTCAGATTCATAGCGTTGAAGTCAACCAGAGTGAAGTCTCTGTGTGACTTACTGTTTATAGTGAAACTGAGATTCACCATAGTGTAATCAACCAAGAAAGGACAGTGTTTACTTTGCAGACATATGGAGGGGTGAATTTTCTTCACCTTTGATCTGAACACATGGTCAAATCTCAAGTTGCTAATTTTACCTAAACAATGCAGATTTTGCAATGGGAAATTATCTCTATTATAAAACATAATTAGATAATGCTTCCAGTTGAGATAAACCCTGAAAAGGTTTGAAGCCTTTTTTTTTCCCAAGGAATTTCAGTTGTTATTGTATTTTTCTTGGCTTGGTACATGACATACACATACTTTGTTTTCGTGGATACAGGAACACATAGCATACATCTATGTATCATAGAGAGGCAGACTCCAGTACCTAGGTCAAATAAAGCAACAGATGTAGAAGAAAGAGAACAAATAATATCAGGTGTTCAAACTATTTCATGAATAATGCACGTCACAGCAGAGACAAATCATCTCATCCATAAATCTGTGATTGATGCCCCAGCTTTCAATCCGTGAGGAGACTGAGATGTATTTAGATTTATCATCCATCTTTATATAATCCCAGAACTGTCCCCAGGTAGACCACCCTCCACCTGACCCTGTCACTTAATCTACTCAGCATAGGATGCTGTTTCAGTTGTTGCACTGACCCACTCTTTTACCTGAGGATGCATTCAGGTGTCTTCACATAACTCTGCAGGCTGTTGTTGTAAACATGTTTGAAGTCTGAAGAAATCTGAGGGCCCATTAGTTCAACTTTGGACAATATATTTAATCAACATGCACTTCAGTTGACTATCACACATTTTTAAAGCTGTGGTCTGTTTTGTTAAGTAAAGCTATGTGAGACAAACAAACAACAGTGATAACAGCAGATTGACTTTAATAATCAGGTCGCCCTTGATGCCCTTCTGTGGACACAGCATGTCGGGGTGGCCTAATGCCAAACTGTCACTGATGTTAGCTCAGTTTGAAGTTTGATTCTTTAAGTGTCCATTATTCAAAAGGTCTGTAAGAGGACCAGAAGTATTTTCAGGTGTCCAGCTCTTCAGAGCAAACTGACCCAGCACACCGAGTTTAAAACACTGAATGGAACAGTCTAAATGTTGCTCAGTGATTTTTCACCAGACGCTAGTTTGCTAACATTAGCTTAGCTTTTTTTCTCTGTTAACTTTATATACAGACATCCAGTTCAAAGATACAGACAATGTTTATAAGCTGATTATAATATTGGTGTTTAAAACTTTGGATCAGGCGTTGCCATGGCTACTATCAGAGTAACACAGCTAGCAAACTAATTAAGGGTTCATCAAAACCAGGATAAGAGCATGTTGAGGTTTCTGAAGCATTTGAAAACCTGATTTTAACACTGGTGTGAATGTTTATACACACAGTGATATGATTGACCAGGATCTAATAAGGTGACTATGACTTGAAACATTAAGAAAGTAGTCGGTTGTTTTTTAAAAAAAAACTCTGAAAGGACAAATTGGATCTGGAGGATTGGACCTTTTATGATGATGATGAAGATTAGTTTTTTCTGTCTTGGTTTGCTACAACCATCAGCATATTTCACTCACTGTTTTAACCTGCTTTTACAATATTCAAACCAGTTCCATATTAGACATTGTGTTTCCCTTTGTGTTTTTACCTCTACCTTTTAACCATTAAGAGGTTATGCAGAGATCCATCAGCTGTGTTCACGTTCATCTCTGTTTGATCCATCCATGTGGAGTTAAAAGATGTCCAAAGTTTACCAAGAATACGATTTGATGTATTTATTGTCAGCTCCTGTGAAGAACTCCTCCTGATTGCCTCCATGATGTTTTGGCTTCACCACTGTGGTTTTAATTTGTTTGTTGAACTGATGATTGAAATCAGCGCACCACGGGTGTCAGTCACGATGTAGACGAGGCTTTGAACCTCGCTCTGCCTTCACAGACTTCATGTTCTGCTCATTCCCTGCAGTGTCGGGTTAGAAACGAAGAGATGACGTTCATAAAGACAGAAGTATGACTCGCATGTCTCTTCCAGTTGACGTCAAGCAGATTTCACCCTTTTCTCTGTTGATATCGGGAAGACGTTTTGATGATTTGCATTCGTTTGATGTTGTCTTGAATCGACTACAGCATCGACCCACTTCTCACCTCAGCAGAGGATGTTTGTGTAGAGTCGCTAAAGTTATGTGAAGGTCTGACTCGTCTACCTGCCAATTAGACAAGGAGCTGCTGAGGCTTTTTGAAGAGAGAGGTTATTAATATTGTTAAAATTGAATTCAGCGATAAAGTACTTCTCTTTTCTTTACTGTCAGGGAACTTTCACAGTTAACCCTCCGCTGACTTTATCAGATTCTCACCCTACTCTCCCAGCCGTGTCTCTGTTCCTCTCACAGAAATGTGTTTTTTATCTCTTCATCTTCTGTTGTTACCATCAAAGTATGACTCTCAGCTGTAGGAACCTTTAAAAAAGTCCCAAACTGGTTTCATATCTTAGCTAACAAGTCAATCAAATGTCCACAGTTAAATGTGAATACCGGTACTTTAATTTGGAATATGAAGGAGATTAGAAGAAGAGGGACACAGCAGATTTAAGACATGCTGATCATTTTGCTCACAGCGAGGTTACAGTCTGTGAAAAGAGTTTATGATCTGGGCTCTCATGCAGGATGGAAAAGTTTGGAATTTGATTTGTCATTTCCTGGAAAAAAAAGAAAGAGAGAAAAAAAAAAAAAACAGTTTCCAGAATATTTTCCTGTTTCATTTGTAATTGCATATAAACATAAAAAACTCCTATAACCAAATAAATAATCAATAATCTGTGGCACACTGAAAATTACTTTATTGTGTTTTATTGTGAATGAAGAACGCGTTTCACACAGTGCTGGGCGAACCTGAGGAAGCTACATGTGATACACGTTGTAAAGTTATTTTCAGCTTATTTTGTTAGTAGTATTAGTCCCCTACAATGAATCACCACATTAGAGCACATTGTTAACATCATTCAGGCTTCACTACAGTCTCTTTGTGTCAGAACAAATTCAACATATAAATGTACAGAATAACCTTTGATTTAAAAGAAGCTATGTCTGAGTTCATGCAGGACACAGAAGTCATACACAGCCTGCTGATTGATTTATTGCTTCTCATCACACATTAACCAATCACAGCTCAATCTAACAACAAGGCCGTCTATGTAACCACTTTCCCCCCTCACTGATCCCTGCTAAACCAATGCTGCTCACATTTCGCTGCTGCTGGCAAACCTTTGCCACTACCACCTCGAATTCCTCCTTTCTAAAAGCCTTCTGTTGCCCTCGTATTGGGGGTTTAGGATTGCGCTCTCGGGAAAGACATGGCATGCTGCTCGGCTAACACGGGGAGCATCTTGACAACATTAGAGCCTTCAGTATCTGTTCTACATTTAAAAAATAAATGGTTAAATCTACCAAGAAAGTGTTCCTGACTGATCTGATGTAAAAAAAGATTCAGTCAGATAACAAAATGTCCATTGGCCTTAACAGGAGTGTGGACTCTTCATATAATAATGCAAATTTTCTAAGGACTGGCTGGACCATTTCAAACATGAGGCCTGGACTATGTGTGTGTGTGTGTGTGTGTATATATATATATATACACACACACACAGAATGTAGCATAGATAAGACACAAGAGGTTTAAAACTTTAATTTATACATTTAACAGATCTTGTAATTTGTAATCGTATTGCAAATGTTGTCTGAAAAATGTAGAGAGAAGTCTGAAAATGTGACAAAGTCTTGAATTTAATAAAGCAACATTTGGAAGACTTGTATGAAGTCATCTGTGACTCTAAAAGGAGAAAACAATAATTAACCCTGCTGATGTCATCACCATGTCCTCAGCTTTCTGTGAGTACAACACTAAGTTGCTGGAGTATTTCTCAAAGTAGAATTCTTCTCAAGATGCACCGCTGTCATGTTTGTTCCACTTGGATTAAAAATGCTGAGATTTAATGTTTTTAATTAGCTGCTGTACATAAAGTTTCAACCAATGCATGCAGGGATTATCAACTGTATTTTAACTTTTTGAAAAATGCACTAGAGATCCCCCCTGTCTTTCTCACTCAGGCATGTTTATCTTTATGTTAATACACCAGTAGGGGGCAGCAGTCAGCTGAAGATCTCACACACGGCTGCCTGGAGGGGAGAGCGAGAGTGTTTAAATCCTTTTCACCTGCAGGTTATTTGTTTCTGTAGCTCAGGTTACAGCACAGACTCGATCTATTCATTCCCTGCATGCACACAGGAAACTCTGCAGCTCACTGTCAGTTGATCTCTTCTCCTTTTGTTGTCCCAGCTGTGTGTGCAGACTGGCCATATACTGGCACGACGTTCTCACTCTTTGTGGCTCTTAA